ACTTTACCTTCTCATTTTTTAACCACAGTTATACCAATGTCTTTCGATATTTCCTTTTCTTTTCTTTCTCTTTCTTACACTTTCCTTTTTTGTCATATGTCTCCTTATCTTTCTCCTAATCTTTCTTATGTTTCCTTTTTTTCTTTATTTCCTTTCTTATGTTTCCTTTTTTTCTATGTTTCATTTTCTGTTTTAGTCTCTCCTTTTCTTTCTTATGCTTCCTTTCCATTCCATTTCTTTCTTATGTCTTTTTTCTTATTCTTTTCCTTTTCTGTCTTACGATTCCCATTTCTTTTCCTTTTATCTTTTTCTTTCCCCCTTTCTTTCTTATTTGTAGTGAAAATCAGGGCCCCCGTGACCTTTTTCAGGGACCAACGTTTCTCTATTGATTTAGCATCACTAGATAAAAATGAACGGGCGGGCGGGGAACCTCCAGAAAAAGGGCAGAACGTCCTTTAAAGTCGGATAAGCTTCTCTTAGCAGACCTTAGCATATGATCATATATTTTTTTTGACAGTGTGCAATCTTGTTCTTTTAGATTAGAATGACTTTGTTCTTTTTTTATTTATTTTTTTTTTTGTATATTTTTTTTTTCTTTTTTTTCTTTTTTTTTTTTGTTATTAGAAGAAATGTAAACCCCAAATATAGTGCAAATATATTGTGTCCCCTCACTCACAGTTATGGATTTTCCTATCTGTTTTCAATTTTTTCTCTCAGTTTATAAAATACCCATTCGGTGACCATCATTAGATTTTTGCTAATTGAAGCTTGATTTCCGCTCCTTTGCATATTTCCCTGCGATATACAACATTTTTAACACTTTAAATTTATTATTTGTCGTATTAAACAACATGGTAGGCCCAAAAAATAAAAATAAAGCAACATGATTCTTTTCTTCTAAAAATTCCATTTTTCGTGGCGTGAGTGTGCTAATTGGCCAATATAAATTTGTTTTATTCGAATCATCATTTTAGACAAGGTACAAAACAGTCTGCCATATCTACGACCATACTACATCTGAAGATCAAGAACACAGAAACCAAAGTATCCACTGATTATACGTAAATAGAATATGACTATGGTGACTCCGAAAAGTGACAGACGTGAGGCCATAGTTGATTCTACGTTTCGTTCTTTATTGGAACATTGTCAAGAATTATCCTACAAGTTGTTTCTTGACAATGTTCCAATAAAGAACGAAACGTAGAATCAACTATGTCCTCACATCTCCATACTCATATTCTAAGAATACAGAAGTTGTTAATAGTTATATGATTTTTTGTTCTAGAGTGGATTTTTGATATGCCATTAATAATAGAATCAACCTTAAAATCGATCTCTGCGTGTATGCTGTAACCATGGCTGTAAATTGTGATTGTTCATGCACGCAAAGATCGTACGCGGTGGATACCATACGCGGTGGACACCCTACGCGGCGTTACTTACACGATCTTTTGTTATTTTTTCGCCAGTGACGTCATGGTAAAATCGTATATAATCGCCTATAACTTCATAAAAAATAGCCAAAAAAGATTTTAAGGTTGATTCTATTATTAATAGCATATCAGAAATCCTCTCCAGAACAAAAAAATAATTTTGCCAGTTCTCTTTTAATATATAAGATCTTGTCATGTACAACGCATGCGTCGTACGATTGTACCAAGCGTGCATACTCAACCGTGGGAGTTTATTTAGCTTGTCTACTTTAGGCCTAGGATATTCTTAAAAACCACGGCCTTTATAAGTTGTATGATAAATGTAAGTTGGTTTCTTTATTGTACACACATTTTTCTTACCACAACTATCCTACAAGTTGTTCCTATATAAGTATTAGGCCTAAGTCGCTTCCGCTAGGCTAGGCCTAGGTTACGGAAGGCTTCATAATGCTACTTGTTCTCCCTTCTGGCGGGATGGACGTATCATTCCCTCAGCCCAAACCACAATCTGGGCTTGGCCTAGCCTAGGCCTACAATGCATTCTGAGCTGATTAGCCAGGCGCCTTGTTTGAATTGAATCGAACTTACCATAAATTCATCATAATTATTAATTTATCAATATTATTAATAAGCACAGGCGGTGGTTGACACATACGATACTTTAATAAGGCCAAGGGATTCGTATGAATGTACAGTATTGTAGCCTAGCTAGGGGCCTAGGCCTTGGCCCTAGGCTAGTTAAAACAGAATCCGAATCATATTAAATTTGTCCTTTCGGAAATTTAATGGCACACGATTGCTCCAAACATTCCTAAAAGTTAACAGACATAAAACATATGTCATAACAAAATATAAAATCAAAACAAATTAGGCGAGACTTCTTTTAACTTGCGAGTAGAAAACAGACGTCAACCGTGTTATGATTGATCAAATGAGCATGTGACAGGTCGAAGGGCAACACATGTGCTGCTTGCTTGTTTTGATATGGAAATCAAGCACAGAAACTCAGTTCGAACAATAGAGCTATTATATCTCGAACGCAACAAGATTAAAAAGGCATAACATGTTTATGATATTATACTTCATCTTCTCTCGGCTCGAATCAATTGGCGTTTCCCATCTGTCTTGGCGGTATAACAGTTAATTATCGTGTCAACAGTAGTTCTAGACTTAACGGGTATTTAATAACAATATAAATTACAACTTTATCGTAATTTTTTGAAAATTATAAGAAGAATAAGACAGCATCAGGGCTGGCAAGAGGGAAAACTGTAACAGTAAACTGAGCGGGAGGCACAAAAAATTTTTTTTAGAGGCCCTGTCAATTTGGATGGGTTCATAGGGGACATTTTTAAGGGCACATTATTATTTTTGAAAGAAATATTGAAAAAAAATGCTACCTTTAATTTCTATGGGGCCCCCTGGTAAGCTTGGGCCATGGGGACCTTTCCCCCTGCCCGCTCTCGGTGGCCCTTTACCTTTCCCCCTGCCCAACTCTCGGTGGCCCTGGACAGCAGAGGAAAAACAGTCTTTCCATGACGTAGCGACAGGTTGATGAGTGCGTGTAGTCCAACAGCAATATATATTTCACAAACCTGTATAGAGGCTGGGTATCATTGTTAAATGAATCACAGGAGTCCAAAACGTGTTATGATAGGGTTGCAGAGAAAATCTTCCGACTTTGTGATTAGAAAAATATTTGCAGGCAATAATAACATCAATAATATAATAATAATAATAATAACAATGATAATGATAATAATAATAATAATAATAATAATAATAATAAATAAATAATAATAATATTAATTGAGAATATATAGCGCAAATTATAAACAATGTTAAAATCAAATGCGCTTTGGACTGGAAGTTACGATGTTTCCTTCAAAAATAATATTTTAATTAATTTTATAAATTATTTTTTAAAATCTTCTGATTGCTTTTGTTGATATAGTACAATAGGGCCAAAAGAGGCCTAGATTATTTATCATTTTAAATTTTTTTATTTATCATTTTGAAGATGTTTCTCTATCTGCAACCCCATCATAAAACGTTTAGGCCTAGGTCCTCTACCAACCACGTCATGGAAAGACTATTTTTCCTCTCCTGTATATTTTTTTTGACTTGTTAAAAAATATACGAATAAAGAGTAGTAATTCATTTATTTATTGTTAAATCATGATAAGTTTAAGAACTACTGCTGACACGATAAGTTCATTACAGTAAAACAAACAAGTCATGTTTTTTTACGGCATGACAAGGTTTGTCTTGTCCTTTTGTATTATTGTTTGTAGTGATTAATTGGTGAAATAAATTAAATAATGATTGTTACTTTCGAACAGTTTCTGTGCTGTGGTTTCATATCAAAACCAGTCAAAACAAACAAGCAGTACAGCACAGCACAGCACAGCACATGTGTCGCTTTCCTTGACCTTTCATTGTTGCGTGTCTGTTTGGCCAATCAGAACACGGTTGAAGTCTGTTCTCTACTCGCAAGTCTTTTTTTATACCTTGTTAGCGAATACTGCAAATATTGATGATTTCAAATAAAAATAAAATTTTATTTTTGGCCAATTGGTGCACTCGCCACCACGAAAAAGTGGGAATTTCAGAAAAAAATAAAAATTTTTCTTTATTTTTATTACGCCCTCCGCTGCCTTGAAATCTCCAAAGAAAAGGTATGTATTTTTCTTCCTAATTATATAAATTTGAAGCATTTAACTATCATAACATTACTGTCATTACATTCACCAATAAAATTTTATTTTTATTTTCTCCTCCGTCTGGACGTTTTTGGTAGAACTATTTACTAAATAAGAAAACAGAATTTTATTTTAAATTTTATTCCACACTCCTCTTATAATCTTTAAAAAAATAATTACACGAAACGAGGAATAAAAAAAGTCTCGCCCTACTTATGAGTTGTTAATCAAAGATTAAATTAACTGAAAACTTGATGTTCTACTGTACTGTCCATATCTTAAATAATTGTACAGTATTCCATGTGGAGTGAGTGGGTGGTTGGCATGAATGGTGGTCGTCTTCCCTAGCATAGTCCCTAGATAGGCCTTGGACTCTCTATTTATTAAAAGCTTTCCACATTATTTCCCTCATTAAAAGTTGACAAGTAAACAGACATTTTCTATTACCTGTAATGCCTTGGTACAAAGTGTCCATAGCAGAGTATTATCTACAGGATGAAAGGTTCATGTATTAGATAGTCATTTCTGAAATTATAACTAACTCTGATAATTATTATTTTCTAGAAACAGCCATCATGAAATGTCATTATGAGGTTTTAGGTGTTAAGCAAGATGCTACTGACAGCTGTTTAAAAAAAGCTTACAGGAAATTGGCACTGCAGTGGCATCCAGGTAAGTAAATACAAGCATATTCTTTATTGTCTTTGTCATGTACTGTACTGTACTATTCTCAGTACGGGTACTGTAGGCCTAAGCCTATATACGTAGTGTTGAATAAGTGTAGGTTTAGCATATAGGCCTACTATTATCCTCTAGGTCTGTATTTCCATAGTCATATGTATAGAATCATCATATAACCTCTGTTTTGAATGCCTGTATCTGCCACTGCTGAGAGTATTAATACTACACTATCAGTTGAGCATGCCAATATTTTTGAAAATACAGGTATTTAAAAAAAATCATAATACTGTATATAAATTTAAATGATAGATTAGTGAATCGTAAGATGTGCAGACATATGGCATATCCATCTTTATCGGTATCGTAAAGCATTTCTTTGATTTTTTATTTTTTTAAAGACAAGAATCCAGACCGTGTTGATGAATGTACTGCACAGTTTACTGTCATACAACAAGCCTATGATGTACTGAGTGACCCCCAGGAACGTGCATGGTATGATAAACACAGGGAAGCCATTATCCGTGGAGGTCAGTACTAAATCTTTACCTTCAGTCATCCACATGCAGTCACATATCTAGGAGTCTAGAAATGGGGTTGGGTGGGGAGATGGATGATGGGGGCTTGATTATGTGAGGGGGAGCTACCTTGCAAAATAAGGTGACATAAGGTGATCTTTAGCTACTTGAACGTAATTGTTTGGCTTTGAACATATCCAAGTAGTGGGGTCAAAAGCTTTTTTGGGGGGCCCCATATCCATAGATACACCACTGTCCTGAAGATGTTATTACCCATCTGTTCAAACCAAACAACCTATATAGTATTTTTTAATGTGGATACATTTATTCAACTGGAAAAAGTAGAAGAATGTATGGTCTATGTCCAAAAGGTATGCTCAAAACTTTGTACAACTGATAATAAGTATTTAACAATGTATTACTTTACACTCATACCTTTAATTTTCCTGTCTGTACATTGCCTATACAGATTACAGTACATCGTGCAGTGGCTTCGCTTGCTATGTTATGTACCAAAGCTGTATACTGTACACTAATGTTCAATTTGCTGTGCAATACTTTCAAATCAAATAATTAATGGGTCATAGTGTGTGTTGAAATTTACATGTGTGCATTATCTTTTGCAGGATTTGGTGATGACTATAAAGACGACTTCATTGATCTAGTTCCTTATTTTTCACCATCATGTTACTCCGGTTTCACTGACGGCGCAAAGGTTACCTTATTTTACATAAAATCATGTTTAAATAAATTGATTTAAAATATTTAAGCTTAAAAATTTCCTCCTCATTAGGACTGTTGTGGCACCCTATGTCAACAGCTAGTAACTTCAACTGTACAGAGTAACTGTATCTGTATTGCTACAATCAATAGGGAAAATTTTCTTGGGAACTTGCCCTGATAACTAAGTGGCATACATTTCTATCCCAGATATTTTATTCAGTTCATCTATTAAAAAAAAAAAAGTCATGGAAAGAAGCATTACATAAAGATACATGTGTTTCTATCTGATAGGCATTTTATTCTGTTTATGGAGATGTATTTCACAAAATTGCTGAGGAGGATAAGCGTTTTATGGATTCCGACTCAAGTGATTATGACATTCCTGAATTTGGGAACTCTAAAAGTGATTATGAAGAGGTACGTAATAATTGATTGTAATTTTAATTGTAAATGATGATGATGATGATGATAATATTTATCATGCTTTTCTATAACTGATCAACAGGGCTACTGAGAGCAGACCTGGGCCCTGGGGTGGCATAGGTGGGGCCCTAATGGCAGAAATCTTAGGGGAGTAGGAGGGGTGCAAAAATAGAGAATGTGAAAGTGTGGGGTGCGAAAATTGGGAATTAAATCCTTATTCCAATGAAAACTTAATGGTCATTTTTACACTTAGTGGAACTGATTTGTTGCCATAGGGTAGGGGAGGAGGGGGTTTGTGCATTCGCTCATGTATCTGGATCCCAGCAATGGTCCAAGATCCTCCAGCAGAGCACTGGCCCACCCTGTTGCGCTAAAAATGATCAACATTAACACAATAATCACAATTATTTTTTTTTTTCATTTTCGTCAGGTTGTCCACATATTCTATGCGTATTGGCAAAGCTACAGCTCATCACGGTCATTTGTTTGGGTGGAAAAATATGACACACGAGAAGCGCCTAATCGACAAATTTCACGCCTGATGGAGAAAGACAATAAGAAACTTAGAGATAAAGCAAAAAAAGCATGGAATGGTCATGTCAGGGTGAGCACATTAAAGCTGTGTTTATCACTTTTATCTTTATCGGAAATATTAAAATTAAAATTTTATGCGGATTGTATTCAATAATTTTAGTATATTCCTTATAAAATCTTATAAAAGCAGTATTCATGTTTATATTCATCATTAAATAATATATTTTATATATCTATATTATAGGATTTAGTGACAATTGTAAAGAAACGTGATAAACGAGTTCAAGCACGGAAGGTAAGCATACTGGATTTTAGTGTTGCACAATTTTAAAAGGCGATTTCTAAATATTTACGGAATCTTACAGTAGTTACATGGTTTACTATATATGGGTACCATATGTAATTAGATAAATCAATTTTACTTCCCTTTCATAAATTTAATATTCATATATATTTAAGGCATTGATGGAAGAGAAAGCTGCTGAAAGATGCAAACTAGAAGCAGAGAGAAAATTGAAACAAACAAAAGAAAGAGCCAAGTAAGTCAAATACAGTCAAACAAGGCAGATTTTTTCTGATTCTGTATTAATAAGTAAGAGTGGTTGGCACATTGTAGAACATTCAAAACTGTTGCCAATGAAAGAACTATCAAAGCTCCAGTATTCAACTACAGAGACTTGACACCCGGATACAATACAATTCCTGTTTTTAACTCACAAATTTCTGGGGCGGATGCAGGGGGTTGCAGACGCAATCACACCGGGAAGATTTTTAAAGTACGAGAGTGCAATTTCTGGGGCATTCTCAAAATGTTCTCACCTCAGCCCCAACCATAGTCAAGCTGAGGTAGTGTGGACTCTCACGCAATTTTAAACAGCATTGACATTGCCTATAATGTATTCTTGTTAGTCTTAATATTCATAAATGTTATAATGTAGGTAGGAGATTTATGCAAGAATCATGTGCCACCAATAATTTCTTGCCCCTGGGCCCTGTGACTTCTTGTTATGCCACTGCTCTGCACAAGTGTTTTGGATAACATGCTTTTTTTAGATTTCTCTGATAATTATACTGTACCCTATGTTTTTGGCTTCAGGCGTCATGAGGAATATGCAAAAGAGGGTTTGAAAGCTAGGGAAGACATGGAGGAAGATCTACAGGCAATGGAGGCAAAGATGAATGAGGAGTTTGGCACAAACTCAGCTGAAAGTCTAGGTTAGTATCACATTAATATTGAAGCAACATTTGCAAAGTAGCCACATTATATTTATGCTAGGCCTATATAATTAATTAATATTTTGTTTTAAAGATGTGTTAATCCTTTGCACTGAGAGAGAGTACAGTATTGTCATCTAGTTTCTACTATTGCCTTTCCTTAACCTTTTTGCTTTGTAAATAAATAATATAATTATATTTGATGATATATATATATATATATATATATATATATTTTATAATTATATATAATTATATTTGATGAAACAAAGTAGCAAATTTTGCATGTACACAAGTAAAGATGATTGAAAGATTTATTGCTTTTGGGGCACCAATACACTTGTCTGAATATATAAATGAAATTATGTCCAGTGAAATTCCTCTCTGCTGGGCACCCCCTTGACATGGGGCCTCCAATCTGACTGACAAGGTAGCAGTCAGATTAGAATAGTAGGAATTGAAATTGGCTTTATAGAACAGAATCTTTATGCTCTCATTTACATTACAGATGGATCCTATGGTTCAGACTCAGATGAGATATTCAGTGACCTGTTTTGCATTGCTTGTAACAAAGAATTTAAAAGTGACAAAGCGTAAGTCAAAAATGGTTGTGCATGCTAATATTGTAAGTATACAAGTAGCATTCACCTAATCCCTGTCTCTTATACACATCTAGATGTGTATAAGGTGGGAAGAGCGAATTTAAAGTTTGGGGCTCCATGATTAACTACGGGCGTGTTAGCTTGCAAAATAAGGTGATATGAGGTGATTTTTACCACTTGAGCATGATTTTCAGTGGGGGCCTTAACTAGGGGGTGCGCAAGCTTTTGGAGGGTGTGCACCCCTGTGCATTTGTCCTTGCCAGAGACACTAGCACAAAACACCCCCCCCCCCCCCCCCCCCAACACCCCCCCCCCCCCCCCTTCGCCACTTGAAGATTGGCTGATCAATAATTTACACTCAAGTCACTATTCCCTTATTTCTTCAGCTAACACCCTTCACTCGCCCGTTTAAAAAGTCTTTTTAACTGATGTTGAATTTTTATTATCAGCGATCCAATGTAATTGCTCAATGGTGTATGTAGATCTAATGTACAAGTACATCTTTGTTTATTTACAGATTATCAAAGAAACAAAAGAAAAGACGGAGACAACAAAATAAAAATCAAGTGAGTTCCAAGGCAACTGGTCAATGATTGCATATTTTTTTGCTAAATTTTTTTTAGATAATCTTAGTGCATTATAATCAATTCTGCTAATAGTGCTAAGTTGACTTTGACTAACTCGATCTTAATTTACATGCTAAATTGTGTTTTCCATTGAATAATGATTTGTAAGTCGAACAATTTTTCAATGGCATTTTGGATTTGGATTAAGTGATTCTTCTTTCATTTTGTACTGTACAGTATATTCAGATTTTTATATACCAATAAATAAAACTAAATAAATCTTTGTTTGCACATGTTTTTTATAATGCTTTTCAAATTCATGCCTTTAGGATAAAGAAGAGGATGAAGATGGCAACAATGACAGGGATGAGGATATAGTCACCCCAGATGAAATAAACAGAATGACTAATGAGTTAAGAGAAAGTTTGGAGATCAACGTTGATGTTGATGTTACAGAGATTAGTAATCCAAATGCTGACACTGATAACAATGGGGATGTTAAGCAAACAGAGGATGCTATGTAAGAACAAACTGCATTCTTATGTAATGATACAATGCAATAACATAACCTATATACAGATATAAATTCCTACTGATTTGTCTATAGACAAAATGACATTCAAATTAACATTTTCGTAGTTTTAAGACAATTTATTCAGGGTTATTCTTAGAAGTTTTTACAGATCTTTACAGAAAAGTTCTTTTTGTAATGGACAGTTTAAATTTTATGGGCAATACACTTGAAAATGTTGAATACATCTATTTTTATCTTGTTCTCAGATCTGTTAAGAAGAAAGGCAAGAAAGCAAAACAAGCACGTAAGGAAGCCAGACAGACTTCAACAGATGGCTTGACAGAGACACCACCTGTCTCATTAGTATGCAACACCTGTAATCTTAAATGTAAATCCAAAAACAAACTATTCATTCATCTAAAAGAGAGTGGACATGCATTGAGACTACCAAGCGCTAATTCACCTTCACCAAATAAAGAAGATAAACGTAAAAAAGGAAAGAAAAGTAAAGGCAAATCCTCACAGATCAGTTGATGTTAAATCCGTATATCTTTTTAGTCTAATATTTAATAGTAACAATAAAAACACATAAAGAAATCATTTATTATTGTCAGTTTTGTTTTACAAGTTGCAAAAAATCTCCTGATTTTATATTTTTCATGAGCAGTAGAAATGAATGCAGTCTTCCGAAAGTCGAGAATGCAGGAGTCTTCCGAAAGTCGAGATGGCCTCCTCCACTCCCACAAATGGACAAGAATCTTCCTGAAAATAACCCCCATCTCCTGAAAATTCATTAAATATGCATGTTTTTACTACTGTATTACCCCAAGTCCCCTTCACGAAAGTCGGTGTCAATTGGTATCGCCATAAACAGCAAAACAAAATTAGATGTGCTAAGAAAGCTTGTTTAAAGAGATCTCCCGGAAATGACGTCTTCCAACATGGGACCCCTGATTTCCTGATTTTAATTATTAGGCAACAGCTATTTGGTTGATATCTCTGACCACTACACAAACACATCAATGCAATGTATGAAGCAACATAATAATGTAATAATAAATGCATTTACCAAAAAACATCTTTGGAAAATACAGTATCTTATAGAATAGGATGTTGTGTTTCTTAAACTATCAACACTAACCTAATAATTCATTATCAAACTGAGATGAAAGAATTAGCAATTGTCTGCCTTGCGGCATTGAAGCAGAAAATGGAATAATGACTCTGAAGACATTCAACAGGCTGATATTTTTTTATAAAACCAATTAATATTTGAAACATTTTCAAAATACAGTACTGCAATATGTTCAAACTATTTTGGTTGGAAAAAGATCAAGCCCTAAATTAGCATTATAGAGAGCAGTCATCCCTTTTGCCACAGGCAGATTCAAGAAGGCACAGCTGGCCCAGGCCCCTCACCCATAAATGAGGGAAAAAAGGAATTTCATTCAAATTTAAGTTTTGAAGTCCCATTTCCTCCATCTAGAGGCATCGGAATCATTGTCAATTTTCATTGAGAGTGGGGTCAATAGGTCAAAATGGTTAATATCACTCAAGCTCACCACAACCATCCATTAACATCAGGTGCTCTCCCCTTCCATATAAACAGAATTTAACCATATTCTATCTTCCTGTGGGATCAGAAATGTAAATACTGACCATGGAGATCAGTAAACCCAAAAACTTGGGATATTTTATATTGTTTGAAAAAAAAATATTTGTACACAAGACCTTGATATTGGAAGCTGAGCACTTATTCCTGTAGAACAGATCAAATGTCTTTGGGCATATAATATCGAATAATTATTTCACAATCAGGATTCATTGCGACATATGACAGAGATTCGTCGATTCTTATGCACCTTCTCCCCTCGAAAGGATGATGTCTCGTTAGGTAGGATTTCATGAGTAAATTCATAGCGCACACAGTCCCTGCAAAACGTAAGATCATTAGAATTACCGGAGTACTTTCCATGCCAGGCAGGGTGAGATTAAAAAACCCTCTAGATGTCCACTCTCAAACCAAATGTGTCTGGCTTAAAAAATTAATATACACTTTCCTGGATAAATTTTACCGCGACTTCACAACGACTGAGCTAGACGCCTCGACAGTTGGGCCCCTTGCCCACCCGCTTCTGCCACCCCTATTGCATACTGTATAACCCCACCCCCGTAAATCGCTGCTGATTTACAGTATCGTACGTCATATTGCATTAGATCGTTATATATACTTACCGCAAAACATAGAGGGAACGTGGCTGTAATAGTACATTTGCCCAAATATGGTTCTGTTTTTCATGAACCAGCTTCATGACTGAAGGTGACATTAAACTTATCCCTGCAATGGTATTACCACAGAACTGGAAAAAGAAAACAGTAGGTCTAACTGTACATTTTTGTGATTTACATAAAAACAGAAATTAGTTCACATGCATACACTGTTCCCTAATAAACACTACTCTAGAATAAGTGCCACAATTTTATAAGCGCCACGGCGCACTTACTCGGGGACGTACAGTAAATACATACTATAAATATTCAGTCTCATGATCGAATCAGAACACCTCCAAAAGTTGACTTACTTTAACACTGTCAATGTGTGGTTTAATGTATCCATCTTCAGCAAGATCTAGAACATGGACAAGTGTGTTATGATGAGAACCAACTTCAAACGCCATGTCTCGTAGTCTTTGAATAATTTTTGAATTTTCTTCTGTCCATTTTGACTTCTCCGTTTCACGATACCCATGTATTGCCTGCAGACAAAGAAAAGTGGCATTATTTCTTTAAGTTCAGCATTTAATTTGGTACAGTATGAATTTGCATTATAAAAAAAAAAAAAAAAAAACTACAGTACAATGAGCACTTGGAGATGCACTGCCAACAGAAGCACACACTCCTTCAGATGCTCCAAAAGGCACTTTCTGGTCAAAATGGCAATAAACTAAAATGGCAAAAAAATAAAACAGCAACATCTTTTGACCACAACAGCTATAAACGGTAATAAGTCAAAACAGCAATAGGCCTAAATTGTCATATAAATAACAACAATACAATATAAACCAAATTTCATGTACACCTTGTTTTGTGGTCAGTGACAATGAAGTTTATCTTAATTAATATCTTTAGTTAACCCCCAAATCTGGATTTGGACCAACACTAGAAGATAATTAATTTCTTCCTTGTAACTTGGTTAAGCTTTCACGAAAGTTTCATTCACATCAGTTGATAAGTTTTTGAGATCTTGTCTAGGACGTGTGCTCTTTAATCCCTTTAAATGGTCCTCACATCCACACCCTACTCCGGACTGTCACCAAACTTTAATCATCATGATATCTTCATTGGGTTATACCTAACACTCCCTGATATTAACAGTTGTGTTTGTGCAGTCGTTTTTGAGATATGTTGTACAAAAAAAAAAAAAAAACACAAAAACACCAAAAGGTGACACACACACACACACACAAACTTACACGACTGAAAACATATATCTCCTGGTGGAGATAATAATAATAATAATAGCAATAATAATAAATAACACTTTAAAATATAGACAAAATAGAGCATCTAATTAAATTTTTTTTAAACTGCGATTAAACATTAAAACAATAAAACAGGGAAAAAGAGCTCATGTCAATATTCGACAATGACAAAACGATTCAGAAAAAAAAACTGCGGCCTGCGCCCGGTGGCGTTTGCTAGTCTTGGTTGGCATTGATTTCGCTCCTGTTTGTGGATTTTGAGAAGTCATAATTAATAATTTAATGATTAGGAATATGGATCTACTTACATCATCCCAGTGATCAGATTCGTATCGCAAACCTTTAAAATATTTTCTGACTTCCTTTAAAAGAGATTCTGTCTCACTTTCAGAAATGAATTCATTGTAAAGTTTGAAGTCCTGCTCAAATATTTCTCTTGCCTTGTTACATGATAATTCAATACAATCAGTAAATTTAATACCATCCTGTGTTGATGACCGGTTATTCAGTGAAATACCAAAGTGACGTGCTTGGATATATGTTTTATTAAGTGCCCTTCGCCTCTCGCAAGCATACAACGAAGGTATAGACTTACTACAACAAGCTCCCCGCGTAAACAGTCTCGAATCGTATTTACGTTGGCGAGCAATACATGATTCGGAGCCTAAAGCTAGGCCTAGACTTGGGCGCGTCAATAAATGCTTTTGACCACGATATAAAGATTTATATATGGACATTATAAGTTGAGATTTAAAATACATTAACAATACCAGTACATAAGAGTAAAACCTGAGCAAATAACAATTTACAAACAACAAAAATGTTGCAGTACTCAGCTCAATCACCAAAAAGTCCTACATCCATGTTGCAACTACTGGAGCAGACTGAAAAAAATAGCAGCCGACGGAAATGCGAAGGTTGGACTAGTAGAAAAATATTTATATAAATTAATCATAAATTATTTGTTGGGTGTTATATTGTGCTACTATTTGAATTAAATTAAATATAATACAAAATATTGTTATTTTATTTTATTTTTTAAAGTATACTATAGCTAAAATAAGTCATATCTAAATCAATGTTTACACATTATCTGTATTTACTTAGCAACTGACCATAGCAACACAAAAGAGGCACACGCACTGGCATTGTCGGTTTTGTTGTTGTGTGATTGATGGTTTTGTTGTTAAATCGATGCGTATTTGATGGTTTCAGGTAACTTTTTCTTTTAATATATAAGTCGAATATGTACACAATTATATTATTAATTACCTTACTTAATATAATGCGAATGTAGGCATTTAGGCGTAAGATACGGATGCTGTCGCTGCTGCTATCTCATCTGTCCTAGGGCTAGGCCTAGCCTATCTCTAGGGTCTAGGCCAGGGCATGGGCCAAGCCTGACCTGACTATTAATGTTGACGTTGCTGTAGTTATTTGTAGTAGTAGTAGTACAGGTTAGCCTAGAAAAAGGCCTATTGGTGGCTAAACTAGATTACAAAGACAGCCCAGACCTGGGCTGAGAAAGGCCTGTATTAATTAATAGTAAACTGCTTTCATCATCAGGCTATCCGGGTGTGTTGCTTGAAACGATTTGCCAGTGCTAGGCCTAGGCCTAGGCCTACTTGGCCTAGGCCTAATTTAATTTGAATCTGTTGTTGTTTCTATTATTTTAAATTATTTAATAAAACTCATTTTGTTAAAGTAAATACCACTAGGCCTAGCCTACCTAGGGCCCTAGGCTAGCCTAGCTAGTGCCATTTTTTGCTTTCGTATTGTTCTTTTCCAGGCAGGACCTTGTCTTTAAAGTTTATGCCTTATTAGTGTGGTATTTTTCCATTTCATTTAATGCAGTCTTAATACAATCATAATCAATTTGTTTGTGATTTGTTTTGATCGATATTGGGACGTGTCATGAAGTGGATCTCCCTCAGCAAGATATCCTGACTGAAGGAGAATGCTGAGTAAAAAGAAGTAGAAATAGATAATTAATATTATCACTGATCAGGTTTTCCATTGGAGATGGTACTTTTGAGCCAAGGGATTGAAATAAATTTTATACATTTTGATGATAGTATCGATGATCAGTTTCAAAGTTAAAAATAAAAATTGGTTTATAAATGTAATTAAACATCCAATGATCTGGTACCACTATTTTAAAACTTTTCAAATTAGATTTCATAATACAGTAATAAATAATAATTTATTTGGATATTCACTTTTGAATCAGTGGCACTCAACCACAGGGGTGGTGCATCCTAACAACAAGAAAAATATAAAAATTACAATCAAAATGAAAGACATCAAAACAAAAACAAGAATGAATAAAAAAAAGTTCAGTTAATTTGCCGCAATAAATATATGGATGCATTAACTACTATAAAAATCAAAAGAAATTTTGTCAAAAATATTCATGTTAATAAATATACAAACTGCTCAATTTGAATACACTTATCAGTTCAACTTTTTATTTTTACAGATTTGAATACATTAAACCGAAATCACAATGTCTATTGCTACGGCACAGCCTCGCCATGTTTTTGGCTTGAAGGGAAAGGTTAATAACAACATTTGTTATGTGGATGAGCAAACAATAGTTTATCCATCAGGAGCCAATACTGTATTGTATAACATTGACCAAAAATCCCAAAAATTCATCGCTGGATCTGACAAAAGTCTCGGCAGCACAGCTATGTGTGTAAGTCCAAACCGAAGATACATTGCTATCGCTGAGAAGGGCAGTGAAAAGGCCACCATCACCATTTACGACCTGCATTCACTCAGGAAGCGTAAAGTTCTAAGTTCGCCAGACGTGCTATCACTTGAATTCATCAGCCTCGCCTTCTCACCCGACTCAAAATATCTGATTGCTCAGGCAGGGAGACCGGATTGGACGCTACTGTATTGGACTTGGGAGAAGTCAAAGGTCATGGCAGTGACTAAAACTTCAAATCCAGCAAACAATGATATTTATCAGGTACAAAGTATTTTATTTATGGTCGTTTGTGTAATTTTGTGGGAAAAAAATCCAGAAATATTATTTTAAAATCCAAAAACATGCACAAATATGCTACCTCCTCTCTCATATTTGCATAGATTACAATTTTATTTTTTATATATTTTAATTACAACTAGATATATATTTAAATATAATATATTGTTTTGTCTTGTCCTGTATTTGTTGATGTACCATAATTATAATCTCAAATAGTTTCATCTGGTTTCTGCATGTATGAACATGGAAAATTCTTGAGAGTAAACCAATAATAATACATACTGTTTGTAACATTTCGATCCGTTGTCAACGGATCTTCATCAGACAGTGACTGACCAAAAACTAGCAAAACCAGTAATTGTCTAATGAAGATTCATTGACAACGGATCGAAAAGTTACAAAACAGTGCGTATCATTGACCGGGTTTACTCACAAGAATTTTCCATGATTTTACCATAATTATGTTGGTATTGTATCCAAGTATTTTAAACTTTTTTGATTGAATATTCCAATTCAGGCTGAGTCATATGATCATACTTTCCAAAGTCATGAAGGATATTTTTTATTTTAAACGTTCATCAATTCCTGTGTTATGTTCACACAGTCAATAGTTCTTAAACCTTTAAAAACATGTTTGATTTTTTGACTTGTTCTCCCTTTAAAGGTGTCTTTCAACCCACAAGACAATACACAAATCTGTGTGGTTGGAAACGGTATCTTCAAGCTCTTCCGTTACAGCGAAGGCAACCTTCGCCAGTTTGCCTTCCAGAAGCTAGAGCCACAGAATTACTTGTCTCAGGCTTGGGTGTCAGATGACAGGGTGATCGTTGGAACAGACAACGGCAAACTCTTTTTGTTTGAATCAGGGGAACTGAGAAATGATTTTTCAATTGTATCACCATCATCAAAAGAAAGTAAACAAATTGAAAGGTATGATCTGATAAATTCTAGTAATTGGAATACAAATAATGATAAATTATTAATGATATTGATAATGTTTCAATATATGATCTTGGGTAATAATAATGATAATGATAATATGATTAAACACCTACTCAGCTCTCTGGGTGAAAATTGAATGATATTGCAGCCAAAATCAGTGCAATTGTGCTTGAATGTACCAGGTGAAGAGAGAACTGTAGATAAAGTGCCTTGCCTAGTGACACAAGAGTAAATGCACATTGACCTCAATTGAAAATTGTTGAAACAAAAACATCACTCACAAAGAATTAAAAATCACCTCATAATAACCTTATTTTGGGAGATATTGCCCTTCACAAATCATTGAGCCCCCCCCCACTTTACCTTCACCCCATCAACACCCCTCCCCCATTTCAAGACTTATTACACCACTGCACATTGCTGCTTCAAACACTAACTTCAAGGTTGATTGGCTACCGCTGTACTGTCCACTCTCATTATTTTGATGAATAAGAACTATTGCAGAGGGTGACCAAACACCTATACTTTATGGACACATCATATATAGTGTTCTATTTCAGGTTATTATATTCTTGCATTCTTTGATTTCATAGGATGGGAAGTATTGCAGAGGGTGACATAGTACCTGAAGGCCCACCGCCTGTTACAGCTATCGTTGCTTATTCAAAAGGGTTTGCATGCTCAGGAGGAATTGGCACAGTTCATCTATTTGAGAAGACTGATGACAAAGACAACTACAAGAAAGCCAGAGAAATCAAGGTAAAAAAAATACCATTTAATTCTAGTGTTATGATATAGGATTTTAAACTTTTAATTTTGGACTTGGACTACGTTTCTTTCGTTGGTTTGAAGGTTATGCAGAAAACTGTACTTATTTGAGACTATGAACGATACCTTACGTTTATGTTCCCAGATTCCTCAAGATGCCATTGGTGCGGATCCAACAAGGCAAGAAAACCACACGATAAAGACAGTGACTGTGAGCCCTTCAGAGGAAACCTTGGTTTGCAGCACCGTCACAAACCAACTGTATTGCATGACCCTCTCCAGTGCTGACTTGGGAAAGGTAAGAATTATATTTTTTATTAAATCTGGCATGTTTGATAAATACCTGTAAATTGCTTATATATGTGTGTATGATATGACATCATAAAGATGTGTCAACAATTAATGATGATGTCATATCATACCCATACAGTATAATATGAGGCATGTTGTGGCGAAATGGTTAAGTTGTCGCAGAGTCCAGTTTTGAGTAAATGAGCTATAAAATATGGGAGTTAAAAAAATTGCCTAAAAATCCAAATTTGTTTTTCACTATAGGTCAACAGTTTAATGTCTTATTAATCATGTCCCAAAGTATTAGTTCTGGAAGTGGTTAACAAATTGTTTATTTAACAATATTTTTTGTAGTTCATTCTAATAAACAATGTATGCACAAATAACTTTGAAAGGCAATTACTCAAAATCATGTTTATCTTGAGTCTAAGAGTACTGTACTTTCACTTTCCAATAACTTAGGCTTGAAATGTCCAATTTGAATGAATGACCTTTCATTTTAAAGATCACATACTCAGGTATCTGAAAATACCAATAACTTGAATTTCAATTTTTGCTACAACTTAGCCATTTTGCCATAACATGCCTCATATTGGTATGGTATGACATCATTATAAAGGGTGAACAGAACATTAGATGTGCTTGTGACCTGTTCACTTACAGTACTTCCATCCTTATAATTTCATTTTTCCTATTTTAATTGTTTTTCCTGTTTTTGTTTTACTTAAGTATGTGGAATACTGAATTATAAATATGTTTTTAAAAATCAATCAATCTATCAATCATTGTATAAAATACTATATATGCACAACTACATTACACTAAATTATGACGTGTCTGATGTCCTCACAGCATGGTGACCAAGCGACATTTGAACTGCTCTCGCAACCCTTCCATTTTGGTATTATCAGCGGCTCGGATGTGTGCATCCGCAAGCCCCTCATAGCCACCTGTTCTGTTGATAGATCCGTCCGCATTTGGAATTATGAAACAAAGTAGGTTTTCCACCAACTATCATTAAAACTAATTAATGATTTATATGAATACATATTTAAGTATATTATCAATTAGTTTAGTTTAATTATATAATTGATGTGTAAATGAGACATAAATGAATGAATTAATTAATTAATACATGAATAAATGAATACATTACTGTGTGAATGAATAAATACATGAATGAATATATAAATGATTGAATAAATTAGGACATAAATAGTGAATGAATGAATGAGTAAATAATAACTTAATTAATGCATACATGAATTGTTGAATGAATAAATGACTTTAATATGTAATAACATTTTCTATGTTATTACTATAGTTCCATTGAGCTGCATAAGGAATTCCAAGAGGAAGCCTACAGTATAGCCCTCCACCCATCTGGTCTCTTCATCCTTGTAGGTTTCAGTGACAAACTGAGGCTCATGAATCTCCTTATTGATGACATCAGAACATTCAAAGAGTTCACCGTCAGGGGGTGCAGAGAGGTAGGTTGAGCCGACTGATAATTCAACATTTTGTGTCCAATGAAAACATTGTTTCTTGGGTTGCTTTATAGGTATTTTAATTCCTACAATATTAGTATGGGCAGCTTCATCTTGTTGAATTTATTATTTTTTACTTTGTGCCAGACAATAGTAACACTGTAAGAGGAAAAATAAAATTATACAATTATTCCTGAAGATGAACTAATATAATATGAATACAAAATATTGAATCACAATGGCTTGTATCACATTTTCCAAGGTTTGTTTTATACTATATTATACTATTATTTTATTATTTCATTTTTTTTTAATTCTTTAATCAATTTTGGGATTTATTCATTGCCATTAAATATAACTTCACATGGTGGATCTATGGATATGCAAATTGTTATGATTGATTGAGTGATTGATTAATTGTATTATTTGTTTTAATAGTGTGCATTCAGCAATGGAGGTCACATGTTTGCTGCTGTTCATGGTAACGTCATTCAGATTTACTCAGCTTCTACATTTGAGATCATCAACAACTTGAAGGGGCACAATGGCAAGGTGAGTCACTGTCTTTCATTTTGTTCATAAAATATGTACTGTACGTAATATAGGCCTGCAGCTGCATCAGCCTTGTCTGTAGGCCAGGTTGCTGCATTCCACAGCAACCACATGGGCACCACAATTAGCGTACAAGTGGTGTGTGTGGCCATATAGTAGAAATTATTCTATCTTGATTTGATTTAATTGTTGTAAAACACTATAAGTATAATTGACTATAACATCATGAGCCCCTAGAATTATTCCCTACTGGTTGTGAAAGTTTGGAAGGTAATACCCTACTCTTTTACAAAGAGTGTACTGCATATTTCAACATTCACATGGGCCATATTGCACACAGAACCAACATCGGAAATGTCTCATCTGAAATATGCACTTCAGCCCAACACTGATGAAAAACAAAGAGATCAGCGATGAATGTGACCAAAGGTCTGAAATGAATAGTTCAGCAGACGCACAGTGGAAACACTAGTTTAGCCAACTGAGCTACACTGCTCTCATTATATATTTCTAAAGCTTTGTCTACACTATCAAATTTCATCAAAAAAGTGTCACATAAAATGTGGTGGAAAATAAGAGTTGAACATATTTAACTTTTTTTATACAATTTGTTAGAATGTGATATAATAATAATGTCATCTTATTAGGCGCACGTATCCATCTCTTGGTAGAGCTGCTCGCGGCACCGTTTTCCACCTGCAGAATGTAGATGTAGCCTTTTTTCTGCATTATTATTTGAATTAATTAATTTTATTTAATTTTTTTAATTTTTTTTTTTTTTTTTTAATTTATTTATTTTTTTATTTTTTTTTTATTTTTTTTTTTTTATTTATTTTGACGTCATCGTACCCATATATAAGCACTTCACTTTTTTTTGTCACATAAAATTTGATAGTGTAGACAAAGCTTAAAAATGGAAGTTTTTACATTGTTTAAATTAACTAGATTTCTAAAACAGCCAATGGAAAAAAAAAAAAACTTTTCATATGTTAACAGAATTTAATTTTGTTTCTCAATAGGTGCGTTCTATTGTATGGAGTACCGACGACAGCAAGCTAGTCAGCTGTGGTATGGATGGTGCTGTGTACGAGTGGAACACCTTCACTGGGAAACGTGAAGGAGAGAGCGTACTCAAGTCATGTAGCTACACCTCTGTCACGGTAACGCCAGATGGAAAGACCACATTTGCAGTCGGGTCTGATCGCACTTTGAAAGAAATCACGGATTCACAGGTCTGTATAGGGCCTACAAGTAGTTTCTATGTAAAAACAAACAAAATAGTGACTGTCCCATTAGAAACTAGTGAAACTGCCCTTATTTGCAGCTTGAGTATTTATGAGTAAATCATTTTTTTATTCATGTCAATCTTCATCTTGTGCATCTATACTGCAAAAGGTTTCGCTGGGCCTTTGCACTTAAATAAGCTTTCAAAAAAAGAGGTGCTGTACAAATAATGATATTTTCTTTATCGAAAAGACAGTTTAGTATAAATAAACCATTTTTAAACTTTATGTTCATTTCCATTTTTTATCCTTTTATATTTGAGGGTCCCTACCTAATTCTGTAAGAGCTATCCTCAAAAAATATATAAAAAATAATTAGAAATGCCTTCAGCTAAAGGTTGTGGTGTGTTATAATTTTATTACTTATTCCTCCTTGTTCATTTTAACGTAGATATTACGTGATGTTGAGGCTAGCGAGGTGACATTAACTCAAGTGGTAATGTCTCACAATGGACGGATGCTGTTTGCAGGTACATCAGCCGGTACCCTGCGTTCAATGAAATACCCTTTGACCTCGCCCGGTGAGTGGACAGAGAGCATGGCACATGGATCAGCAATTACTAAGGTGAGACTGAGCAATGGTGAACATGAATATTTATATTTCTGTTGCTTAACCTCCATAATCTATGTAATATTTTCATTACATTAATTTCTGTGGTTCTGATGGTATTAACAATTGAGATTGGAAACTGTTTGGCCATTAAATTTACTGTAATCAATTGTGTTTTTTTTTCTCTAAAAGTTATTTAAAAACATTTTACAGCCTTGCATCCCAAGATTTTACATTTACATTTTACTGCACCAAAAAAGCACTTGTATTGAAATAGATATAGGCCTAAACAAATTATATTTCATTTGTATTGTTATATTATTTTATTGTTATGTTATTTTATTATTTTTATTATCATTATTATTGATAGATGCGCATCAGTTACGATGACCAATACCTGATAACTGTATCAGAAGATTCTGTGCTCATGATCTGGAAGATTACCGACAAAGAGGGACGTGGTCTGAAGAGAGATAAAGAGCTGGGCTATGCAGAAGAAATCCTCATCACAAAGTCGGACTTGGAGGAAAAGGTAATGAACGGCAGACAATTCTGTTACAAATCTCTGGTATTCAGTGTTTACTGAATGTACATCAAAGAGTATGGAATGGAAAGAGGCCCAACTAACCTGATTGCGCATGGATGAAATGTAACAAAATATTCAGTACTACCATGAGATGGGCATGCCCTATAATAATTAGAATACCATTCAAAATTCAAGGCATTTTCTACACAACTCTTACTTTTAAAGGATGCCCTCTAGTGTAAGGAAACCCTGGCAGTCGGACCACTTGCCATTCCACACTCTTTGGTAATTATGAAATTGCACATACTGTACCCTTCAATTGCTTGTTTTGTATTTTACTTTAATAAAGTCACTCTATTATTGATTGTATTGAGTCATTCTTTAGGAGTAAAATTTAAGAACTATGGTCCATTGTTATTACCTTTGATATATTCGTGTATTTTCCTAATAGAACTCAGTAATGGCAGAGCTTAAGACTAGAGTAGAGGAGCTCAAGATGGAGAATGAATATCAGCTACGTCTCAAGGACATGAACTACAATGAAAAGATCAAAGAATTGACGGAGAAGTTCATCCAGGAGATGGAGTCACTTAAAACTAAAAATCAAGTTTTGAAAACGGATAAAGACAAGGAAGAGGCCCGGCATGAGGAACAACTTTCGGAATACATGGAGAAAAATTCAAAAGAAATTCAAGACCTCGGTAAATCACGTTTTATATCAAAGCATAAAATATCTAATATATATATGAAATATACAAAGAACTTTATTGCAATCTCTCATTAACAATACAGAATAAGTCAAATCAGAATTGAAGTTTAACATAAAAACTATATCACAAACACACCACAAACACACAAAAAAAAAATAAAATAAATCTACAGTATTAAGTCAATTAAATTAGGGAACATTAAGTTAAGAATCTATGTGGGTTTGCCCCCAAATCTGACTTAATACCAATTAGTGTTGGACATGACTTGTAATTGATTTGTTTTTATATCAGGGGAAGATCCAGTGAGGGCGAAATTGGGGGAAATAAAAAAAAACTGGCACAGTACTCCAAAACAAGCTAATTTTTTATATAAACTCCATGTACCACTGTCTATAATGGCCAAGCATTTCTAAACAAAAATCTGAAAACACTATTCCACCATCAGCCCCACCCCCCACCCCCGATTGGTGCTTTGCACGTCACATGGCCCCTACAAAGATTTTCTGTGGATCCATCTCGGCATATCATTATAATTTTTTTTACTTTATTTCACAGAGCTTGCCAACAATCAAAAGCTGATGATCGAATACGAGAAATACCAAGAGCTTCAATCCAAGTCACAAAAAATGCAGGAAGACTATGAAAGGCAACTACAAGAAATGGAAGAGTCTAAAGAACAGGCCTTGGAAGAACTTACTGAGTACTACCAAACAAAGCTACAAGAGAAAACCACACAGCTTGAACAGGTAAGTAACTTACTGAGTACTACCAAACAAAGCTACAGGAGAAAACCACACAGCTTGAACAGGTAAGTAACTTACTGAGTACTACCAAACAAAGCTACAGGGGTAAGTAACTTACTGAGTACTACCAAACAAAGCTACAGGAGAAAACCACACAGCTTGAACAGGTAAGTAACTTACTGAGTACTACCAAACAAAGCTACAGGAGAAAACCACACAGCTTGAACAGGTATATAGTATGAATGCCACTCAAAAAATTGACAAGGCCATTTTATTCAACATTTCACTTTTAGTTAAGAATCATCAGGAATAATACATATACACTGATTGGATAATTGCCTCATTAAATAATTGCATATTAATAAGGATCTCTGGTAACTGATACTGTATATAATTTGTGTCTTGTGTTATTTGTGTATATTATATGTATTATTCCTGATGATGCTTATATAGAAGCGAGTATTTCAGTACTTGGAGTATGCATTATACTTTCTTATCTGAGATTAATCAGTGAACCTTTCGGTATATGGTGAAGACTTTATGTATTAAGGTTTATTTATATGTTATTTTTAGGCAAATGATGAAGCTCGACATCAGCTACGAGAATATGAGGAAACAAAGAAACAAATTGAAGAAGATGCTGACCGTGAGATTTTGGACATCAAAAACAAGTATGAACGGCGTTTGCGAGATGAGAAAGAAGCAAATATGAGATTGAAAGGGGAAACTGGCATCATGAGAAAGAAGGTAGGGGTATTATGGCACATGGATATTATATTTTTGATTAAGCATCTTTCTACAATCTTCTAACTTTCTGGTGTCAATCACACTATCTGACCAATCGGGACATGTTATCCAATTGGCAGGTCCAGGGAATATGTGGATATCCCACAAATCTGTGTATTTGCAAATGCAGCTGCACAAACTCATTTTGTTGGACCAAGGGGCAGGGATTAGCCAAAATGTTCATTGTTCATTACTATGTGACAGCTATATTGCTGTTGACTTTCAATCAAATTGTCTAGGATTTGAGTCTGAGGCAAGCTTCTTGTTTGTGTCCTTTATCGATGTACTATCTCTCCATGAGATTTCAATATCAATGCACTGATATATAACTGACAACATTATGGAATACTCACTTATATGGAGCTGAGTATGTGTTCAGTGTAATACACTGACCTGGATAATATTGTATAAAGTACATAGATGCCTTGGAATGATGTATTATATAAGACAATACAATATTGTTGTTTTACAGTTTACTAGTCTACAAAAGGAAATTGAAGACCACAAAGATGAAATCAAGAAATTACAGAATGAGCAGAGTAAACTTCAAAGTGTCATCAAGTCTCTAGAAAAAGACATCTTTGGACTGAAGAAGGAGATTCAAGAACGTGATGAGACAATTCAGGACAAGGTAAACATAAACTAATTTTCCAACCTTATACCCGATTCACACAAAACAAAATGTTATAAGAATGCGTTGTAGAATAAATTTAGCATGCGTTCCCTTCTACGTTATTTTCTGTAGGAATATCTTGGAGTGGGAGATCCAGTATAGTTTGATATAGAGGGGGCCCAGAGGGGGAAATTAAAGGACGGAGGGTCCCGAATATGAATTTGAGTCAACTCGGCCCCAAATCAACTTAACTTGGTCCATGGGTCAAGTTGATCTGCTTCCTCAATCCCACCATGGTTAGGGCTGAGGTACGAAAATCGTACTATCGGATTTAAATTTGACTGTAATTTTCTTTTTTCCCCTTTTATAGGAAAAGAGAATCTATGATTTAAAGAAGAAAAACCAAGAACTGGAGAAATTCAAATTTGTTTTGGATTACAAAATCAAGGAGTTGAAGAAGCAGATAGAACCAAGAGAAAACGATATCAAGGCAATGAAAGACCAGATCCAAGAGGTAGGCATCTAAATTCACATATTCACTTGGAAATACAACAAAACAAAATGATTATGTACTGATCGTTTAAAAAATTACTATTACAGTCAGTCTAACTCTGCTTGCATTGACTAATGGTGTACTCTAAAATGATGAAGATGATGATGAGAGTATCGATTTTGCTGTTGTCCATTCAGCGATTGTCCTTATTTTGTTTCTTATCAAAAAAAAAATTTCTCAAGTCTGTTGGAAATCAGACATCTGATCAAACGCTGCCTAGCTTTACCTAGTGAGAAGTGTTGGTGAAATATATATTATACATTTTCATTTTTATTCAATTTGCAGATGGAGAGCGAGTTGGAGAGATTCCACAAACAGAACACACAACTTGAACTAAACATCACAGAACTTAGGCAGAAACTTAAGGCCACTGAGAAAGAGATGTACTTTGAGAGACAACGGGTAAGAAATGCAAAACTATGAACAAAAGATAACAAAAAAAATAAATTTTTGTTTTAATTACTGATAGTAACCAAATTTTAATGCGAAGTGTGAAGCCTTTACTTATACTTGTGTTCATGTAATTAATAGGTGCGTGATTCAGAAGCTATCATGAAGCGTTTCAAGACTGACCTCCATAACTGCGTTGCTTTCATTCAAGAGCCTAAGAAGCTGAAGGAAAGCATCAAACAACTTTATGCTAAACATGTGCAAGATGATACGGTAGGTTTTTCATTAAATTAGACTCTTGATTTTAAGCTGTTCACACTACTTAATTTGGTTATAAGCCTGAAGCCTATTCCTCACTAACTGTGATTTCTGTGTTTAATTACTGTAGCCGGAATCTGCTAGTGTTGATGCGGACATTCAGAGGGAATACAGCCGACAACGTAAGCATCTCGAACAGAGCGTTGCTTCACTGAGGAAGAAGCTCACTAAAGATACAGAGATTCATCGTGCTGATAACGTCCGGATCATGCAGGTTAGTTCATCGATGTTACTAATGCAGATCTCTTTTTGAGGGTGTTTCTCAGCATTATAATAATATATAGTAGAACCCTTCCGTTGGGACATGCCTATTAGTATAAAGGGGACACTTTTTTTTATCCCAAATATGATCCCTTAATAGGGGTTCTACTGTATTCAAATTTATACAATTTTTAAAGTATTAAAATACATTAAAAGTTTTATAAAGTTTAATTCATAACATGTTAATATTACATTGGTCTTGGATAGTGTATAATGCTATGACTGCAATTCATAGACTTACCCTGTTTAATGGATATTATGTGATTATGTCTATATAACAAATATATTATTATATATATGAACAAATACTTAGATCTTGGGGTAATGATAAATAGTAACTATAACCTTGCCTAAGTCGAATAATTTCTAAGTTGATCTAATTTTACATGCCAAATTGTTGTGTTTTCCATTAACAATTTGCAGGAGAATGTCTCTCTAATCAAAGAGATAAATGATCTAAGAAGAGAGCTAAAGATTGCCAGAACACAGGTACATGATCTTGAAGCAGCCCTTGGTATCAACAAAAACAAACCACAGCAAGATTCTGGCAACTTTGCAGATAACTTCCCGATGTCAAACTCACTGTCAAGCCGAGAAGGCAGAACCGAGGAGAACATTCGCATCATTGAAATGCAGCGTAACGAGATCAAAAAGCTTCGTACTCAGTTGCATGACGTGGAATTGGTGTCGCGGCCTCCTTCAGGAGGCAAACTTCCTCCCGTTTTGGCTCAGTAACCTGAGCCTTTAATGCCTTTCTTTTATATCACCAAGTGTAAATGTTATATTTAGATCTTGAAGTGGACGAATATTAAAAGATTCCTTGGATGAATTTGGATACTATGACTGTATTTACTGTAAATAAAACAATGATCTATGAGAAATATATTGTAGTTAATTGATTAATACCTATGAAAAGATTATGATGGTTTAAAAAGAAATTACTGTACTACAAATGGGTAGCGTATTTATTTCCAGTTTGGCCTTCCAAGTACAGAACAATTAGTGATGGTACTTCGTTCCTTGTCAAACTTCTGATCAAAACAAAACTTTATGTTTCACATTTCATAGAGTGACAAGTCCTCGAGAAGGTTACGCTTGATACAAATGTGACATGGGTTCTAAAAAACTCAAAACACCTTTTAAAAATAAGGCATCAAAACACCTTTTAAAAATAAGGCATAGGCCCCTATGGACCACATGCAACCTTTAAAAAATAAATTTTTCCCCAGAATATCAGTCATAAATTGTAAAAATTGCTCCCAAGTGTTTCCTTAATAACTTTCTGTGTATTGAAACCATAAGAATTATTTTCCAAGAAAGAGAGCAAATTGTTTTGTTCAGGCTAATTGCCTATTATCTTTCCTGGCAAATGATATATATCTTGAATGCCAAATAAATATTATTCAATATATATTTAATCAAAATAATATTAATGTAAACGTTTAATGTTTAGCATCCTGATGCCAAATCGGGTTTTCTAATTTTAACATTGTTATACTTTATTACTTTATTATCATAAATATCTTTTTTCAATTACATGACATAACTTTAATTCACTTAAAATAATATACTGTATATAAAAAGACTATAATAATTCCCTGTCTAGTTTTAGCTGTTCTTTTTAAGCATCACACACATAAATAATATACATGAAACCACCAATTCCAGGACACTCTGTTCAAACAGGTTTTTATTCAATAATATACAATTATTGTAATACGCTGTGTATCATACAATTACATTGTAAATAAATGCAATTAATTTTGCCTGGCAATCTCTTTGTCTGTATTCACTGTGTTAAGCACACTGCAGTCATTCGAAAGACCTCTTTAAAATGATCTTGAATTTAAAATAAGAGCAATCACTGTACTCAAACTGAACAAATTTCAGGAAACTTCATTAATATACAAACCCCAATTTTAAAATGAATTAATAGTTTTAATCTGGTTAGCACATAATGTCCAACTTGGAACCAATAATCAATATTATATTCTTGATTGTTTCTTTGATTCACTAGGTAATCATCCAATGCAAAAAAATTATCCGTTTGGTCGTTATGAGACTTATACTTCAATTTATATAGAAAAATATTCTTTTGGGTAAAACCAGTATGCATGTACAGCACCAGTATGTTAAAACCAATGAAGTTTAATCAACATTATGATATTGCAGTAATACTTTATACCGTGTAAAGTATTAACACATTGTAAATTTCCAAACAATAGTTTGATACTGCTTTAATCAATTTAAATACCTGGGAGTTGATTCTGAAATGAACATTTGATTGGAGGTTGTTTCTAAATTTTAGTGCTTCCATTTTTACCTTTGTGGAAGCCAGTGACAAACAGTGGTGGCGTCGGCGCTGGCTTAAGCCCCCACTCCCCAAACCAGCCAGAGCTTGTCGGGCAGACGGACCAAAAAAAAAATAGGCCTAATAAAATGAAATGCATGTTTATTGAGTTAAGTTTGACAATATAATAACAAATTGTGTTTTATCAACTTTACATTCAAAAGTATTTTTCAAGTCTGAGGGTGCCATTTCTGGCCATCCAGATGTCCCTATTTTTAAATAAACCTCATTAAAGAGGGAGGGGAACCCCCTTCCTAAAACCCCTCTCCCAACCATGGTGGGGATGAGGTTGTCTAGACCCTCCATCTGTGAAATCCCCTTCCTGGTCCCCTTATTTTGGATACCTAGCTCTGGATCTGACACTGTAGATCTTCTGGAATTATATATTATTATATATTATATATGTTTGTTTCCACTCGGTATTTATTAGGATGTGATACTTAAGACTAAATGGACGAACTGGATAACAAACCTCTAACCGATGCTCTTTTACAAATCCAATCAATTTTTACTTGGCAGGCAAACCTTATGGACATTTATTGATTGCATTTCGGTTTAATCAAAAATTATTTAACAACCTCTAAAAGAGCAAAATGTACAGTATTAAAAAAAACAATCACTTGTAATGTGACAGATGAGGTGGTTAAAAATGAGACATGAAAAAGGTAGGAATGTTAATTAGTACAGAAGTGTCATAATAAAACAAAAATAATCATTTAGAATAGATCAATAGCTGACATCATCAATCAATATCTCAGAGATCTCTGACAAAAGTATTTGCTAATTGCTTGTTACTTTCATGATGTCAACCAAATGAGGCCTGCATACCAAAACCAACATACTGTTACTGTTGCTAAATGTTAAACTGAGTATGCATAACAATGTGGCAGTATTGTATACTTAGTATTACTTTTACTCATAACTTTGGCAAAACAAAAAAGATTTTAGAAAATTTAATTTTTTTTTTGTCTAATTACAAATATTTGAAATTCAAAATTTTGGCTTGAGACCCCCCAATATTAAGGTTGATTCCATAAAATGACCTATCATTTTAAAGCTTATAATGTAGAGAATATGTATATGTTAAAAAGTCAATTTTTATTGTTCTGGTCACTTTTGGCACGGCAAGCCCCATACGTTGAGTTAAATCCAATACCATATTTATTTGAATAAAATCCCCAGAGCTTTGTTGTTCAGAGAGGTTTTTTTTTTTTGGAGGAGGATGGGGGGGTAGGGAGAGGGGAAGGTGTTTATTTTTCTGAGTGTAAAATGATATGTATAATATACTTAAATACATACAACCTTTCACTTCACTCAAAATGTAGTTCACAACACAAAATTATTGTCACAAAATGTTATTGTATTATTATTATAGCTAGGATTCCAGATCAGTCATAATTAAATTCTACAAGAATAAAACATGGATAATAGAATAGTGTTGAGGATTGCGTTGTTTCCAGGGGGTGTTTAAAATTCAAGCAACATTTAATATTCAAAGCGGGTCGTTTATTCAAATATCGTACCTGAATTGCAAACCGTGTTATTAGTATTCAGCTGAGGAAAATATGAGAAAAATAGTCATCCTCACCGATTAACAAAGTAAAATTTCTGTAAAAATATCCTATTAATTGTTTCAATTAGTGTTTCATTAAGTTAATAAACTCATTTGACCCTTCCAAATGAGTAATTAATGTTTTAATTGAATATTTGATATTCCTTGAAGGCAGTATACCTTCAAATAGTAATTTTCATCAGTAACCAGGACAGTTTCACATTAGTAGGCTTTTACAGGAGAAACGGAATGATACATTTTCTGCTGCGTGGATACGATGAAAATTCCTTTTTGTAGTTGCGGTGTTTGCCCATGGCCCACATCGCCATTTGGTACAGACCAGCAAGCGTGAACAGACCGGCAGGCATACACTGACTCATCACCGTAAAACCGAGCCAGGCACCGACTTCATATGTATAGTTTGGACAGCTGACAAACGCAAATGCTAGAGTCATGGGGTTAGAAGTCGGGTAGGGAATACGGCGCTCTTTGGTGCCAGGTGGTCTAAGATTTCGTAGAGCGAGATGAATAGAAAAATTCCCAAATTCATTTAACTGAAAAACAATGTAATTAAGGATGTGTAAAACTTGAAAAGGTAAGTCAAAACATTAAAGATATTTTTCGATATTCTTAATTTTTACATGCAATACAATTATGACATCCCTAAGAAAAAAATAAAATGATTTCATTGCATTATTGTTAATATTTTTATTACTATTACCAATATCATTATATACATTATAGTTATTACTGTCATTACTATACTATATTCTCTTTTCATAATAATATGTGAACCTTGGTTAATAGTTGTCAACTTACCAAAAATGTTGCAAGTCCAATATATAATTGAACGTCCCCATAAACTGTAATAAAACACATATAAATGCATAAATGCTTTAATCTGGAGTCTTATATATACTATATACTTTTAAAACGTGGACATTGGAAAATGAAGAAATAGAAAAACTGCAAGCATTTGAAATGTGGATCTGGAGAAAAATACTTGGTGTGATGTGGGAAGACAGAATAATGAATGCAGAGATATTGAGAAGAAAAATATGAACACAAATAGAAGTCTACTAAATATAATGGAGAAAAGAAGAAAGAGGTGGATTGGTCATGTACTGAGAGGAAATGGATTATTGAAGAAAGTAATTGAAGGAAGAATGGAAGGAAAGAGAACAGTAGGCAGAAGAAGAAAGATGTTTATGATGTGTGAACATTGGACGTTAAAAAAAACAATCACTTGTAATGTGACAGATGAGGTTGTTAAAAATGAGACATGAAAAAGGTAGGAATGTTAATTCCTATCCTTTAATTTAGAGGCTTGTTTAATCAAATTTAGAGTCTTAATATGTGAAAATACATATAAATTTGTTTTCTCCCTGACGAATTGTAGTTTTCTCCCAGAAAAA